AAAATTACAATTTGAATATCTCAGTATCATTAAATTTATATATATGTCTAAATGAAATGTATTGGTCCATGATTATTATTGGATCCATTGAATAATGTTATAAAAGTGAAATATTCTTTACTACGATAACCAATCTTATGTTTGGCACAATAACATTTCAGATCACAAAATAATTTACAAATGTATAATTCCTTCCATGTTTTTTTAAATCTCATATTAATGACTGAACTGAAAATTATAAAAATATTGTCATAAGAGCAACTTTTGCTAAAATCATATTTTCCAAGAGCTTGATTTATTTTTAGCTAGACCTTTTGTATATGATTGTTCTTGGTCCCTGCACTCACTAGCTATGAAGCTGCCTTAATCCTTAACCTGACTCTTTGGACAGTGAATTCTATAGGCTCTGAGAACAAATGTCAGAATACAGTAGCCTGAACAAAGAATGCCTGCTTTCATTCCCAACTTTAGTTTTAGAATGTTTAAGAATAGCAATTCAGATGCTAAAGCCAATGAAGAAAAAGAGAGGATCTCAGTCCAAGACTACCATCGCAAATGACATCCAAGAGGAAAGCTATTAAAATGTAGGTAGGTATTCTCCTTATAGCAGACAGTTTGCTGGGTTAGTCTTCCTTCAAATCTCCTAGGAGTCTTCAGTCCTGGTATAGCAAATTACTGCAGACCTCCTGAGATCACAAAGGCTAGGGTTAAAGTCTGCATTATAGTAGACCAATAATGTCTGTTTTTATTATCATCAAACTGCCTGTGGTGTTCCGAGTATCACAAGAGCAATCCTGAAGTTGAGTACTTAAATATTAAATTTGTTATTCCCAGGGAGTGTGTCATGTATAACTTATCTTGGTTATTAATGAACTTAACTGTAGGACAATAATTATTTGTCAGACCTAAAATTTGTCTTTCCTAATACTTCTGAAGAGGCAACAAGTTTATAACTAACAAAGATGTCATTTATCCTAGGGATACCCTCACAATAAAACAGAGCCAATATAGTACGGCCTATTAGTTTTCTTTATAAAGGAGCCAATGAAAAATGACTCTTTCAGATAAAATCTCTCCTCACCGCTACCTCCCCCTGCTTCATACAGACTTTTTCAAGAGTTTTTATTTTTATAAAAATTGGAAGTTTCAGATAAACAGAATCTGCTTTTTGCCCTAAAAACTAAAGAATTATATGAATTACTATAAATATTCTACAACCTGCAAAATTGTAAAATAATTCAAAAACAATGAATGGTGCAGATAACAAAAAAGAATATACTTAACCTGGATACCCAGTAATTTTATTTATTTTATTTTATTGCCTATTTAACAGTCTGTTAAGTTTTCCTAATAGTGTCTCCGTTGCCTCCTCTGATCAAAATAATCACAGATACTTTTGATCACACAAAAAAAGGGTGGTCTCATAGGCTTACCCTAATTATTTAGCAGCAAGACTATTAATTAATAATATAGGCCTTCTTGAATTTGTTGCAAATTTAGAGTTATACAGCAATAGAATATTAAAGCTAATCAACAATTTTCTGAACAAATAAACACAGCAAAATTTTTCCTTATCATTTTATCAGCCCTATATCATTCTTGCTCTGTTAAATCTTGGGTTAGCAGTCTGCTTGCATGAAACCATCTGCTTCCATTCTAAAGAGTCCTGGCATGCCTGACTCAGTTCACTGGTACTGTATAAAAGTTACCTAAGCTCTATCTAAGCCTGTACCCAAGACTATTCTTTGAAGTGTCAATATTTCAAAGTTTCTCTGACATTCCTCCCTAGTATTCTGAATCTGCCTTTGTTGCAGACACAAACTATTGACTGTAGTTTATAGCCGAGCCTACTGCAAGCATCAGAGTAAAACAGAAACTCCATAGATAGCAGATACTTAATGGCTGTGCATCATTTGATGCTGTAATCAATAATATCAGAATAGAAGATAAGTAAAATTCTCTACTAGGATACAGTATCTAATTTTTTCTTTTTTTAAATATATTTATTGATTTCAGAGAGGAAGGGAGAGAGAGAGATAGAAACATCAATGAGGAGAGAGAATCATTGATCGGCTGCTTCCTGTACACCCCATACTGATGATTGAACCCACAACCCTGGCTGGGAATCGAACTGTGACCTCCTGGTTCATAGGTCAATGTTCAACCACTGAGCCACACCAACTGGACCAGTATCTAACTATTTCATAAATATTTTTATCAGTGTTTTCCCTGAGAGTAAAAGCATAGTGGACAGCTAGGGCATTGTCAAATCTCCAGGCACTTCCCATAAAACATAAAATTTCTGAAGTACTTATTTAATAACATTTTACCTATATGAATCGAACCTTAGGGCATACTGAGCATCTCTTCTCAGATATGACAGCAACTCCCCTCCCATGATACTCTTAATATGGGGACATTATCGAACAAACCTAATTATTTCTAAACATCTCTTTTTATAAGATAAAAGCACAAATCTTTATAATTTCCTAGAGGGCCCTCTAGGAAATTTGAAAGATAGTTTCAGGTGTAAAAGATATTCTGAAGTTTTGTTTTTGTTTTTCTAAATTTAGGCCTGCTTTTTAGAAGGCAAAATTAAAAGAGTTGTCAAAAAAGAATTGAGTACCTGATTTAGATAGGATCATGGGTATCTGAGAAACTACTTAGTTACCTAATTTTCAAACAACAATAAAATATTTGAAATCAATCCTCCCACTAAGAACAATTATAATAGCTATATTAACTTTTTTTAATTTTTAAAGAAAAGGAAAAGATAGAAAAAAAGTGAACCGCAGAGAATTAAAACTGGAATTCTTCATCATAGTTTTCTTCAATGCCTTTACTAATTCCTAAGCCAGGGAGAGGGAAGATATAATAGTATCAGAGGCCAAGAAACCAAGAATAAAACAGTAACTAATAAATTAATGAAGTGAACAGAATTTTTCAGTGTAGGAGTTCAGAGCCTGCCATAAAGGAGGGGCCTTGGCAGAAATTTCAGGTTTTCAGTTTAAACCCTTGAAAAGCTATGTTCTAGGAATAAGGACAAACTGGAAAAAAAAAAAAACAAGCCTTCTCAAAGACTGAAATCTCTCTCAAATTATCTCAATACTGGATTAGACCATAGTAATCTTAGTTTACCTTAACTGACTACCAGAAGTTTCTGGAGGAATATATTATCATCCAGAGCCTCTTCAATTTTTCCACTTCAATTTTTTGAATTACCAGCTAAAATTACTAAAAAACTAAGAAGAGAAACACAAGATAGAAAAGCCCTAAAAATGATGGACTTTAAAACAATGTAATTAATATGTTTAATAAAAAGGAATGACAAAATGAAGAATTTTACTAGAAAACTAGAATCTACTCATAAGAATTAAATGAAAATTTTAGAAAAGGGATGAAAAAAGGCATAAAAGACATATGGGATATGGTGAAAGGTCTAACATATATGTAATACGAGTCCAGAAGGAAAGGAGAAAGAGTAAGCAAAAGCAATATGTAAGAAGTATTGGCAAAGAGTTTTCCCAAATCAATAAAAGATATCAAGTCAGAAATTCAAGGAGCTCTGCTAATCTTAATCAGTATAAATAGGAAGAAACCATCCTTGAATAATTATAGCAAAACTACTGAAAGCCAAGGACAAAGAGAAAATCTTACCAAAGGACATATTTCCTTCAAAGAACCAACAGTAAAACAAACAGAAATGATTTAACCGGAAACGATGGTACTCAGAAACACTGGAATGGCATCTATAAAATGCTAAAAGAAAATAACTGCCTCTGTGGAACTGTGTATTCAGCAAAAATTTCCTTCTAAAATTAAGATAGGGACATTTTTAGTCAAACAAAAACTGAGCAGACCTATACTAAAGCAAGTTTTTTAGGCAGAAAGATTATGGAAGCATGGAAATGCAGAAAGGACTGAAAAGCAAAAAGGAAAAAGGAAAGGATTAATATGTAGGTAAATGTAAATGAGTGTTGATTGTATAAAATAATAATACCTTGAAAGGTTTAAAATATAAATAAAGTCCAGCTGGTGTGGCTTAGTGGTTGAGCATCAACCCATGAACCAGGAGGTCACAGTTCTATTTCCAGTCAGGGCACATGCCCACGTTGCAGGCTTGATCCCCAGTGGGGGACATGCAGGAGGCAGGCAATGGATGATTCGCTCTCATTCATTGATATTTCTATCCCTCTCTCCCTCTCCCTTCCTCTCTCTGAAATCAATACAAAACACATATAATAAATAAATATAAATATAAAAAGCATTATCTCTTTTGTTCAAGACTATATCCCCTGTACCTAGATTGGTACTTAGCATATAACAAGTGCTCAATAGATATTTATTGAATGAATGAATGACTGAGGAATGAATATTTGTCTTACACAAAGTCAACTTCACTAAAATAAGGTGGTTTTTTATTTTAATCTTATGAATTCATTTTATCTTCATTTTGAAAGTCTGGTATTCAAATGTCTGAAAATAAAGCGATTCTTTTTCATATTTGCAGGACTATCTCAAGCAGGTGCTGGATATTGACCTTCATGCTCAGATCCATTTCGGCAGGGTGTTTATGAAGCCAGGGTATGAAAATAATCTTGTTATCTCTTATATGGGCTTGGTTTGGCTTGCTTTAACTAACAAAGCTTTAAATGCTTTCCTCTTATATAGTCTATGATGGATTACCTATTTTAATAGAAGAAATATTATAGTAATAGAATTCTTTGCACAAGTGCAGCTCCTATCTGAAATGGGTATTCATCTTCCTTATGAGTCACTGAGTTTGGAATGAACAAAGCAAAGCAAGTTACCAAACCTTTTCCCCTTTAATTCCCATGTCTAGTTCGTGCTTTCTCTTTTTCTCTTTCTCTCCATACAGATTCTTTTTCTCTCTTTAAAAACATTTCAATATGAAAATTCTCAAACATACACATAAGTAGGAAGTACAGTGAAGCCCCATGAACCCATCACCTCGCTTCTGTAACTATCAACATTTTTTCATAATTGCTTCATCAGCCCATTCCACACCTTGTTGGGGGGACAAAGGGCTAGATTATATTAAAGCAAATTCTAGACATGTCATTTTTATATACATCTCAAATAATAACAGCAGCAGCAGTATCCTCTTATGTAAGTAATCACAGTGGTATTGCCTCGCCTAACAAAATAAATAAGAATACTTTAACATCTAATACCCTGATCATATTCAGAATTCTCCTATGTGTTAAGAAAAAGAATACCTTCTTATAATTGTTTCGTTTGCATTAGGATTCAAGTCAGTGCTCTCATTGTATTTGGCTGTTAAAGAACATTTACTGTCCCCCTCCTTTTTTGTCATGCCATTGACTTGTTGAGGAAACTGAATGAATCATTTGTCCTAAACGAATGGATTGGGCTGATTGTGTTTGTGGTGGTATTTAATTTGTTCCACTCTCTCCAGGATATTCTGTAGACTAGAAGTTAGGTCTAGTGCAGGGGTGGGCAAACTTTTTGACTCGAGGGCCACAATGGGTTCTTAAACTGGACCGGAGGGCCGGAACAAAAGCATGGATGGAGTGTTTGTGTGAACTAATATAAATTCAAAGTAAACATCATTACATAAAAGGGTACGGTCTTTTTTTTTTTTTTTTTTAGTTTTATTCATTTCAAACGGGCCAGATCCAGCCCGCGGGCCGTAGTTTGCCCACGGCTGGTCTAGTGGCTTGATTAGATAAAGATTCAACTTTGTTTCCTTTGTAAGAATATTTAATAAGTAGTATTTTATATTGCTTCTTACTACCTCCTAGGAGGAAAAAAAATAACCAAATACTAAGATTTTGCACATTTCCTAAAAACTAATAACTCCCTAAGGAAGGACTGATGGAAGCTCTATAATCAATTGTAAATCTTTAAAGAATATCAAACATTGGTGTTGATGAAATATGTGTGGCCATGTCTTCAAGCAGTTGTGTACCTATTCAGACCCCTGCTACTCTGTAAACCTTTGGTTCCCTATTCAAAGGCTCAGTGTGTGGGTGAGCATTCCAGCACCACCTCCATGCCATCAGGGACAATAACAATAATGCTGTAGTTCAGAATTATACTCTGATGGGTGCTCATGTGAACCCCAAGAGAGAGTAGAGGTGAGACTTACAGTTAGGAGCTGTGGGAACTATTACCATATTCCAGAAGCCTTTTTTAAGAGTCCCTAGCCCTTGTAATCTCCCTGATTTATTGGGTACTCATGTTTAAATTAATCTCAGCACCTATGATGTATAATTTTAGCGCTGTTTTTATTTTCAGTCTTTTATTTACCATTTACTTCAACTTTGGGACTTCATCAGTTCCCTTAAAGTCATAACCCCTGTGACTTCACTCATTGTTCTGTTACATTCTTATCTCAGGAGGGGAATTGAACAATAAGTGTTGAGTTCCAAGGAAATGGTTTCCCAGAGCTAAAAAAGACAGTCTAGCAATAGGACACTCATGACAGCAATGCATGACAACAAAATGTTTTGTTGTAATGGAATCTTTTTTAAATTAGTGCCTTTAGATAAATCATAGTACCTGTCTGCAAGATGCAAGATGATTTGAATTGGCTTTAAGTATAGTAGATGGAAAGTATTATGCACTCCCTCCTCACTCTTATTATGCATGTTAGTTTGCTATAGTAAAGTGGTTTAGAATTTTAAATGAGCTTCCTTTACTTGGCCAGAATTTTATACTTGTCTAAAGGTAAGATTTTAAAGATAATTGCTGCCTAATAGTACAAGAACAAATATAAAACCTCAGAACACTTTAGTCTTGCTCTTCCCACATACAGTGCATTTAGAATGTAACTAACCTCTTTCATTTTAAACACAGAGATACTCAAAAAAAGCATTTGGATTATTATCAACCAGATCTACTAATCACAATTTTTATGAGTCATCTACAGTGAACATAGCTGTTTTCGAAAATGCATCTTGGAAATTATTTTCATCATACAGTAACAATCATTGCCAAATAACCTGTCCATAAATCAATATGACAATCTAATCTCATCTTTCTAAACTACATCAAAGAATTAAAAAGTAAGCAAAAAAAAAGCCCTCAGAGTAATCAAAAATAGATGTTATGAAGTCTATATACAGCATACCCTTTATACAGAGCCTCATCAAATTATGAATCATACAGTTAGACAAAACTTGGTTCAAATCTGTGTTTCCCTACTTAGTAGCTGAGTGATTTGGGGCATTGTTAATCTCTCAGTTTCCTCATCTATAAAATGGGACGATAATTATCGCCTCATGAGATTACTGTGAAAATTAAATGAGATAATAGATGTAGTTAATAGAACTTTTTAAAAATAGTAACTTTTATTATTGTTATTATCATTCCAACAATATAACTATTACTATTTTCTGGTTCACAAACCTAAGCAAGCTTTAAGGGTCGAGATGATGACAGTCTAGCATTAAGGGAAGCCACAGAAAAACACTAGTTAAAAACAAAAACAAAAACAGATGCCCGTGGCCGGTGGCTCGGCTGGTTAGAGCATTGTCCCATACACCAAAAAAAGTTGCAGGTTTGATTCCTGGTCAGGGTACATACCTAGGTTTGTGGGTTTGATACCTGGTCGGGGTGCGTATGGGAGGCAACCAATGTTTCTCTCTCACATCTATGGTTTATAAGTGAAAAGACCACAAAATACCCTTGTGACCCAAAATCACTGTATTATAGAAGAGTAGAATAAGTTAATAATAAAGGCTGTAAATCATCAAAAAATATTATGACCCAGTTTTGAAAGCCCAACCTGCAAAAACAGTAAAAATAAAACAAATTTGGGTGCTTAAAAAGATAATTTTTCAACTATAGGAAACTTCATCACTCCCTAAGGATTCTACATCACTCAAGTTTCATTAATACAATAAAAATTATAGCTGAAATTCTATGTAAAGGATAGGCAATAGAAAAAAATTACTATTCTTAACTTCCCACCTTCTCCATGCCACTCACACTTAACCCTCTCCATACCCCTCATGGTAAAGATTCATGTCAGAAACTTGAGAAAGTATAATATGGGAATTTTTAATATTTTTATTGCTTTAATTATATTCTAGTCATGGTTTTTTATTTATTTTGGCATTTCAAAACACTCCTTTCATAGTAGGGAAGTTCTTATGTTTATTGCTGAGTACAGTTTTAAAGGGTTGAGAAATACTCCTTTTGAGCAATAGGCAGTTATCTGATAGGCATGTATTATGAGGTAACCTTCTGATAATAAGAATGATTGTTATGAATCACCAGCAACAATAGTATAGACATTAGTAGCTAGGTGGGTGGAGAAACTCCAGGACTTGGGGATACTCTTCTATGACATTGGTAGGAAGGGAGAAAAGTAAGCTACAGAAAACCAAGGAGTTTGGTTACTTGGAAATAGTAGATGCAAAAAACAAATTAATTTACATGCTCTTGAAACACTTCAGGATATAAAGATTTAAAGAATCAACAGAGAAGTATTTTTATATAACAAGCTTTCTGTTAGAAGAACCACGTAACAAGAAAACTGGAGTACTGAATTTACCTGTTATACTACTTTACAGAACTAATAATCTTCTTTTTTTCTCTAGCCTGCCAACGACATTTGCAACTTTGGATATTGATGGTGTAAGAAAAATAATTTTTGCACTACCAGGTAAGAATAATTGAAACAGTTTATTTTACCTTTTCTGGAAAAAAAAAATGACCAAAAATGATTTTGAATCCCAAGTGACCAGTCCCCTATCAGAGTACTTGATTTGGAATCTAAATGACGTGGGCTCAAGTCCCAGCTTTACTTACTTGCTGAATCACTTAACTCACTGACGGTGTTTCTTCATCTATAAAATGGGGCTAATTACTACTTCACAGGGTTGGTGTGAAAGTCAAATTAGATAGTATATTTCACAGCACGTTCCAAACCGTAAAATGATAACCAAGTACTAGCTGTCACTGGATCTTTCTAGGGCACCTGCTTTTCCTTATAGGAGATCAGTCAACGTTAGCAGCCTAACTGTGCTCAAGGGGCCAAAGGGCTGTGAACCACAATGCAAATGCTAGAACAAAAAAATACACAATTGCTTTTGGTTTGGGCCACATTTGGACCATAGGGAGGGGGGTGAGCAACGTGGAAGGAGGGGCTACTAGTATTGGTGCTTCTCAGCCAAAATCCCAAGTATCATCAGTCTGACCACATCACTGTCCTCACACTCACTGCCAAGTGAGCAGAAACCCACAGGTTCAGATAGTGGTTATTTCAGCAGGGAAGGGGATGCGAATAAACTTTTTAATGTGTTTCTGTATTTTCTAAAAAGCCAAGTGGTTCCATTCACAAGGACTTTTAAATTCAGCTTTTTATCGATTTTTGGCTGTGTATTTAAAGCCATGCTTTTAAAGCCATGACTCATCTTGAAAAATTCTAAAGCAGTTGAGAAGTTTTGTATATCAGCTTGGTTTTTTTTTCCAACTTCAACAAAATTATCCTCTAATCTATAACAGTGTCCCATTCCCTCTTTTTTTGACACAGGTTCCTTCAGAAAATAACCTACTTATTTTTTTATAACCTACTTATTCCTTTGAGATATTTATTTGCTTTTTATATTAAATAAGCCTCAAAATAGAGATATAAAGAAAAGAAAGCAAGCAGAAAAAATATAGGACTTAAAAATCATTTTTAAAGCCCCAAAGAATTTATAAGCAAAAAAGAGATTAGATTTCTATCATACAGGAAATTTTAAGAGAGATGACATGTAAGGAAAGTAGTCTTCAAGTTTTATCTGTAGTATAGAACTACTTGGGGCCCTTAATATATCCTTAGATATTCTAAAAACCATTATATAAAACTATGATCCTCTGTCTGGTTTTAATTTGCCTAGAAGACACTGCTTACTTTGTCTACAGAAGCTATGACTCAGCCTATAGCCCATCAGTGACAAAAGGATGTTACAGTGGGAGACTAGTTCACCATTTCTGAGGAAGTACTGTTTGTCTACCAAAGAAGTTATAATTAACCTATATTCAAATTACTACTTTCATTTGAAATTTTCTCTGCTCAGCCTGAATAAACCTAAAGAGGGCAGCAGGAGCTCACATGTTCAGACTGTAAAACCAGGAAGAGGTTCCTTTTACAAGGATTTTAAAATTCAGAATTGTATTTCTGCTTTCCCAAGGGCCATGCATGTAAAGCCATTAGTAGGCTTCATAAGTTTTAAAGCAGTTTAAAAGTTTTGTGTATCGACTTGCTATTTTTGTAACTTTTTAAAATTACTGTATAACACATTCACTATAAAAACTTTAGAAAATGATGATAAGCATTGAGAAATGTTATCCATAATCCTCTTCCCCCTGAAATAACCACTATCCAAAATTTTCTATATCAGTCCCAACAGTCCTATTTTTATAGAGTAATTTTATAAAGAAATAGCAATTACAGGAATTCTGTAATCATTGTTAAATGAACTGTGTTTTTTTCCAGAAAAAAATATTTATTTGTATTTTTGAGGCAAGAAAAGCAATTGATTTTTTTATTGTTTAAAGTATTACATATGTCTCCTTTTTCCCTGATTGACCCCTCCCTCGCCACTCCTACCCTCCCCCACAAGCCCCCACCACCCCAGTGTCCCTGTCCATCGGTTATGCTAATATGCATGCATACAAGTCTTACCGCCCTCCACACACACACACACCGCTGCTGTAGTTCTGTTGGACAACTCATTTTCCATTGAAATAATAAGTATCACTCATCACCTTTTACAACTTAAAAAAGATATTAACTACTTGTAGGTAGAAGAAAATTAAAAGTATGGTTTTAGCTAATAAGAGGCCAAAATAACCATTGCCTTTTACTTTGATGATACAATTAGCAGCACATAGCCAGGCCAAGGGAAACTAGAAATCTAATAGCCCATCTTATATCTCTAGTATATACATACATATTCACATACTGCAAGAGTCCACGGCCAGCGTGGCTTTCGCGGGTTCAAAGGCTTGGAGGAAGAGCTGACACACAAATGATACACAAGACGAAATATTATTTTTAATACCAGGGGAACCAGAGGACAACTAAAGCATAGCAGTCAAGTTCTCCCTGATGCTTCTTTCCCAGCTTCATTGATTAGCTAGAATACACAATTGCCTTTAGGAATGCAGACAGACATATCAATGGTAATGTTTAGTAAACAGTAAGATTGTCAGGTTTTGGGGCGTTTGCTTTAGACCATTGACTCAACAGCAGGTAATAAAATGTAGATATTCACCCTGTGAATATCAAAAGGAGTCCTGGTCAACCTTCTGCCAGACTCCTCACATTTATATCAATTACTGTTGATCTTGGTCTCCAGCAACATACAAAGGTATAAAAGTATTAATAAAAATAGAATTTTAGAACCAGAAGAATATTGAGAATCATATAGTCCAACCTTTATTTTGTGAATTAGTTAAGTTAGACTCAAAAGGTTTGGAACTCACCAGGGTCACAGCTTGGTTAGTTAATATACCACACAAGAAACTACTATAAATGTGTTTTTCTCAGCCCAGTCATGTTTTCACAATGTACCTTTCCTATCTTTAAAGTGCATGACACAATCAGATTCCTTCTTGGAGAGGTACAATTGAATTTCTCAAATTTTTATTATAACTCTAAAAGAAATTGGTGTTTGAATTAGTCCGCTCAGGCTGCCATAACAGAATATCACAGACTAGATAAATGGGTTATAGATAACAGAAATCTGTTTTCTCACAGTTCTACAAGCTATATGGACGCAAATTTGGTTTCCATTGAGATTTTTCTTCCTGGCTTACAGATGGCTACCTTCTCTCTAGGCCCTCACATGGCCTTTCCTCTGTGCACAGGCACGCCTAATGCCTTTTCCTCTTTTTATAAGGACACTGGTTCTATTGAATTAGGGCCTCACCCTTATATCTCATTTAATTTTAATTACCTCTCTAAAAGCCCTATCTCCAAATAAAGTCACATTGGGGGTTAAGACTTCAACAAATGAATGGGAGGGAAAACAACACAACTCAGTCCATGCAGTATTTATCTTCAAGTCCTTCACATTTTAAATCATTTAGTTTTATTTTTTAAACTTAAAGAAATGTCTATTTTGGGGGAATATGGATATTTTTTATGCTTATCCTACTTTGTAATTTTCTTTGTATTGAGCATATATTACTATGGAAGTTTTCAAACATAATAATAGCAAGTAGACAACTATAAAAAGGGGAAGGGGTGAGTGGGGGGAGACATCTGTAATAGTGTAAACAGTTAAAAAAAATAGCAAGTAGAAACTGCTTTAAAACTTACCAAGATTGGTAATGGCTTTCAATGTATAGCTCTCAGAAAAGAAGAAATAAATGGTGTTAACCTCTGGATATCAGAAGTCTGCATTTCATTGGTAGACCCAGAAGGTTGTACCCTCTATGGCATTTGCTTGACTATACATCTATTCTGGCATCCTTTTGGGGTTCAAGGTGATTCAGACGAGAAAGACAAGTAGTCATGTCACTATGATACCTAAAGGTATAGACAGTCATAATTGTTCGGTAAATTTATGTGGATACTACAATAACTGCATGGTTGACTTTCAGGGAATCCTGTGTCAGCCGTGGTCACCTGCAATCTCTTTGTTGTGCCTGCACTGAGAAAGATGCAGGGCATCTTGGATCCTCGGCCAACCATCATCAAAGCCAGGGTAATGTTTTCTAATGACCAGGAACCAAAATAGAAGCCTAGTAACAGTTAAGGATATGATCGAGATCTAGAAACATCTCGAGTTTTATATTAGTTTTGAGAGGAAATGGGATTATAGTCTCTCCTTTGTGATAGAAAATAGAGGAAAAGGCCCCTTTTATTCCCCTCCCACATTATTTAATGACTTCTAACGTGAACAGTTTTTTCCAGCAAGAAATCCATATGGTAATGGAGATATAATGACAATTTGATGCAACTGATTCTTGTTTCTTAAATTAATATAAATATCTCCTTCAAAACAACCCCATTTTGTAGATGAACAAACAAGTATCAGAAAGCAAAATAACTTGCTAGTACAGCCATCAGTTAGCAGTAAAGCTGGAAGTACAACCTAGGTATGGGTACCATCCCATTCCAACATTTGTTCCACTGTACTCCTACAAACCAATCAGTGCATTGTTGTGGTGGGGGGTGAGGGAGGGCGGGAGACACCTGCTTAAACACTTAGCAGATCACACAGCCATGCGAATAGCTCTTGTAGTTAGTACTGGAGAACACACAAACAGGGAGATATTCAAAGAGAGATTTTGCCCTCAAACACAAAATAATTTAGGAATAATCACAAGTTAAACCCCAATTGATATGAAATAGAGTATAAACATAAGATTAAGTGAAAGTGTGGAGTGTGATTTAATCAAGAAAAACACCCTACAATTGAATTATATTCTAGACTCCAGAAGAAAAGCATGGGTTGTCAGAGTGAATAATTAGAATACTTAAAAACATAGTCACCAGAATGGATTGGACACAGACTTACTTAAATCAAAATTTCCAATTTTAATTGCATCATCCAATCTAAGCAATATCTTTGTTAGTTAGAGCTATAGCCTTTCTATATCATTTTAAGGTAAAGTGATTTAAATGATTATTATGGTAATAAAAAAATGTTAATTCTTGCTCTGGCCAGTGTGGCTCAGTTGGTTGAGCATTACCTTATGCACCAAAAGGTCACTGGTTCGATTCCAGGCCAGGGCACATGCCTAAGTCGTGGGCTACATGCCCAGTAGGTGACGAGTAGGAGGCAGTGTATCAATGTTTCCCTCACATCAATGTTTCTCTTTCTTCCTCTCTTTTTTTCTCTCTCTCAAATCAATAAAAACATATTTTTAAAAATTAGACCCAATCTTTTCATCTGCCTCTTCCCGAACTATGAATACCAACTTCTTGGCCTTCTTTTCTCTTTTCATCAGAGCAACCCAACCTCTGGATTTCCTGTATTAAGAATACAAGGTGGGCCCTACCTGGTTTGGCTCAGTGGATAGAGCATCCACCTGTGGACTGAAGGGTCCCAGGTTCGATTCCAGCCAAGGGCACATGCCTGGGTTGTGGGCTCGATCCCCAGTGGGGGTGTGCAGGGGGCAGCCAATCAATGATCCTCTCTCATCATTGATGTTTCTATCTCTCTTCCCTCTCCCTTCCTCTCTGAAATCAATAAAAATATATATTTTTAAAAAGAATATAAGGTAGCAGTGGTGGAAACAGCAGAATACCAAGATAATTTTCATGTCCACTCTATTCTTTGCACAAACTCCACCACCCTCTAGTTCTAAGAGATGATCCCAAAATGATCAAATTTGTTTTATTTTCCTCTCTATTCTGTAGTTATCATGTGATGTAAAACTGGATCCTCGCCCAGAATACCATCGGTGTATACTGACTTGGCATCACCAAGAACCACTGCCTTGGGCACAGAGTACAGGTTAGTCATTCACACCTACAAGTACATCTGTGCACTTATTCTGCTAAAATCACATGTATATAACCTCCTTCCTTGGGTATACACAATTTGGAATTATTATATATTTTCCTTTTTGGAAGATTAGATGAATTCAATATTCTTAAACATACAGTATAACAGGACAAAAGAGTAAAAAAAATTATAATAAATATTTAGTTATCCATTAGTTCAACCGGTAAGTTCTGAGCATAATTTTGGTTGTAGGAAAAGGAAAGACTGTGGCTATGCCACCTTAAAACATGAGAATAAAGCCCAATTATGATGTGATTCCCTAGAGCAGCGGTTCTCAACCTGTGGGTCGCGACCAATGAAAATACATCCTGCATATCAAATTCATAACAGTAGAAAAATTACAGTCTGAAGTAGCAACGAAAATAATTTTATGGTTGGGGGTCACCATAACATGAGGAACTGTATTAAAGGGTCGCGGCATTAGGAAGGTTGAGAACCACTGCTCTAGAGCCTCCACTATACCCTAGATCTTGTTAAAATTTAAGGACTAAGAAATCGATATTGATAATTCAGAGTTCTATAGTTACCTCTTCTAGACTTTAAACTTTTATCCCCAACTTCTCTAGTCATATTTTACCTAACTTTTGATGTAACGCCAGTAAAATTGTATTGCTCTTGAAACAAAAGTCCTGTCAAGTGCAGATATCAACTAACACTGTGACAGGGGCCTTGCCATAAGAAAGTAGGACTCTAAGCAAGTTACTTCAACTCGTTTGAGTCTTGTGAGAATTAAATAAAATATTTAAGTAAGCCTGGCCAGTGTGGCTCAGTGATTGAGCATCGACCCATGCACCAAGAGGTCACTGGTTCAATGCCTGGTCTGGGTTGCAGGGTCAATGTCCATCAGGGGGCGTGTGGGAGGCAATTGATCGATGATGTTTCTCTCTCATCAATGTTTGTATCTCTCTCAAATCAATAAAAACATTTTTTTAAAAGATGGTTAAGTAAAGTGCCTATCGCCTTGTCTGGCACTTAGTAAATACTACTAAAGAAATGGTAGCCGCTGCTATTATTATCATTATTTTAATAGATTTTAAAAGTCTTTCTTTTTCAGACACACATAGTAGTTCAGGCTGAAGAGGAAAATTCTGTGGTGTTTTGCATCATGCTATAAATTCCTGGTTTATTCTTTTAAGCAATAATTTTTAATGTTTATTTTTAGAGTTTAGTGGCAAGGTAGTAGGGTACAGTAGCAAGGCTACCTGAAAAGGGTACTGGGAAGTCTGTTCGTATCTCTTCCTCTTGAAGACCTATGTTTCTATTAATGGGTTCTTACTTTGGTACGAACTAGAGGAGCTCCAGATGTATCCATAGTGATGCTTCTGCTGCTGCAATGAGAGTATTTCTTTCTAGGTAATCAGATGAGCAGCCGTCTGATGAGCATGCGCAGCGCCAACGGATTGTTGATGCTACCTCCAAAGACAGAGCAGTACGTGGAGCTCCACAAGGGCGAGGTGGTGGATGTCATGGTCATCGGACGACTATGATGGTCACCAGCGGAGAAAGCTTTGATGCATGTCCACATATCATTGACTGTATCCTGTAATATGCAACGGCACAGCTAGTTTTTCTGATTTGGATAAAAGTTGATCTGTATAGTCAACATCTTGAACTATATTTCAAAAGAATTTAAATACCTTTTAAAGAAAAAAAACACCTAAAAATAAATCTTAACAGATAACTCTATTCTGATTATATCAAAGCAAATTTTTCCTTTCTTGCAAATTGCTTTGTGTGTTCAATGCTAGGTCTGATAGCGATAGCTTTTAGTAGACAGCAGTAGGTGCCTGCAGAACTTGTGTTTTTCTCATCTTTAAACAACTACTTATGCTCTCAAATCAAGGCTGTCTGCTTATTTATACTAGCGTAGGCAACACTTGGATTTCCCTTCTTAGTATGCTTCATAACCGCTTTACAGAGAGCTTTCGCTTGTTCTTTATCATGTATCTCGTGTTTATGTGCACAGTGCCAACAGAAGAGCGACTGGGGGAGGCCCTGCCCTGCCTCCAGGAGAGCCATCCCTCGCAGAGCTTCCGGGAAGTTTCTCACCCCAGGAGCCTCATGGCACAGTACTCTTGGGCAGTAACTGGATACCTTTTATTTGAACAATCTAACTGGGGGGAAATGCTTCCTTAAGTGCTGACAGCCTTTTTAACCAATACATTTAAAATTGTACAGAAAAAAAACCACATAAAATCAAAGACTGATCTTGTACAGATATTAGTGTTACCAGCATTCATGTGGAAATCAAGAGCAAAGAAAAAATAATGATAACTCTGTACCATAACATTTTCTGTAATGATACTGAAACTTAATGAATAAAAAAAATCCTTGATCATTATATAAAAATCCATTGTGTTGGCCTTGTTATTAAACATTGTCATGTATTCTCATGGGGTTCTGCCTGGATAAAAGGCATATTTAAGATGACTCAGCAAGATTAGGTGATATAAAGGAGATGTAAAGTGTGGCTTTATATAACTATATTTTACTACAGTATTGTGGTCTGTAGCTTTGTGAAAATACAGAATAGAAGACAGTAGGGAACCTGTGGTTGGTCTGGTGTTTCCAGTCATAGCTAGAGAATAAAGAGCAAGTTTAGAGGAAAGATAGTTGATAATTTAGGAGCAAATAACTAAATTCTTATGCCATAAAAACAAATTTCAAACATCTACAGTTCTTTGGAATGGAGGGGAAACGTAAGTAGTGCACCAGGAAATGTCAGATGAGTACCTTTTTTTATCATGTTTGAAAGGATGTGAGAAATGGAAATAATCTGTGCTGATCATAGAAAATGCAACAAATGAAATATAGTTTATCCATGTGGTTCCTTTAATAAAAATTGAAGGGCACTTTTCAAATAGTAACAACAGGACACTGAATATGCTGTAGGTTATTCTTAGTAAAACAAATGATAAAAATTGCCCTCTTAGTAAACAAAGTACCAAGTGATGATGATGAATGAAACCAAGTTGTAAACAACAAATATTTGATTCTAATATTTCATATCTCCAGAGTTGAAAATATAATGTCCTATATTTCAAGTTTTATACTTGCAATTAAAGAAGATAAGGTTAGTTAATAGAGGTCAAGTGAAAGATTATGAACAGGGATTTACCTATATTCATTCAAGAAATATTTATTAATCATCTAATATGTGCTTGGGAACAACGTATATCATGCTGCTATTTACAAAGATGAATGGAGATAGTAGCTAACATTAAACTCCATCAAGGGAAAAAACAAAACACATAATATTTGATATGTTTGATACTTGAAAATACATGGTAGAGTGTGTAGAATATGATAAATGGCATGATTCAGGTTTAAAGAGTTGGAGAAGTTCAAATGATTACCTCCTATAAGGTAAGATTTTAAGGGATAAGATGGCATTTTAGTGGGTCTTAAAGGAAGTGTATAATTTTAAAGATGATGCAGGAAAAAGGCATTCCAGAAACAGAATTATGGACAATTAGTAATTATTTCTATTATAAAATGTAAGCCCCATGAGGGAAATAATTTTGTTTATTTTATTCACTTACATTATCCCAAGTCCATAGAAGATTTGCTGGCATATGTGTAGGCATCAGTAAATATTTGTTCAATGAAATACATTATATAGAGCTTACTATATGCTCATTACTTTTCATTTGTTTAATTTTCACAACAACCCTGAAAGGATTATTATTTCTATACTAGATGCCTGATGCACGAAATTTGTGCAAGTTTAGGCCTGCCTTCCCCCGGCTGCCGGCACGGGCTTCCCTCTGGCACCCGGAACCGGGGCTTCCCTCTGGCACCCGGAACCGGGGCTTCCCTCGCAGCCCCGGCTTTGTCCGGAAGACATTCAGTCTAATTAGCATATTAGGCTTTTATTATTATAGATTACAAATGAGAAAATTAAGGCACAAAAAGATTTAAGCAACTTGTCCATGGTCACACAGCTAGTAGGAGGAGGAGCCAAGATTCAAATTTAGCAATCTGGCTTGAGAGTCTGTATTCTTAAACACTAAGCTAAAGAAACAGAAAATTGATAAAGAAGAGGGGAGGGCCATTGGAGCATCTTAGTGTGGAGTGTTGGAAGAAAAAATCCATGAATGGAATGGAAGGGAGAGCATTTTGTAGAAGAAAACAAACCAGGTAGAGCAGTGTTCCAAAAACTAAGGAGGAGAGTTTCAAAAAGAAATGATAATAAATTATAAAAAAGAAATGTCAAGAAAGATGAAGGCTCAGAAAGATTTGTTGATTAGGCAATTGTTGGTGAGCTACATAAGTGCAATTCAATAATGGGTTTAGGGCAAAAGCCAGGTTACAAAATGGAAACTGTAAATTTGTGCATAAGGAAAATAGACACAGGATGGTAGCTTAAACCAGAAACAAGGTGGAGGAAACATTTTTGTGAGTTTGGTTATGAGAAAAGAGAAACAACAGTAGCAGGCATATTAAAAATTCCAGAGTAAGGTTTCAGATGGAGAAAGAGGAGGAAGGAAGGGCTGGCTTTCAGCGCCCTCGTGGCCCAATTAGGCTGGAAAAGAAAAGAAACATTTTTCCTTCTGAGTTAGAAAAGGGAAAAATATGAATACGCTTGAAACAAATACAAAGGGAATTTATATTTTAATTGAATTTACTGGGGCAACATTGGTACACAAAAGCATTCAGGTTTCAAGTGAACAACTCAACAAAACATCATCTGCACAAAGCATCATGGTGTCTATTGCCCCTAGCAAAGTCTCTTTCCATCCCCTTTCCCCACCTCCACTTCCACCCCACCCCTCTTTTTCTCTGGCTAACACTACACTGTTGTCTATGTCTAGGTGTTATAGATATATACTAAATATACTAGAGGCCTGATGCATGAAATTTGTGCAAGAATAGGCCTTCCTTCCCCCAGCTGCCGGCACCAAGTCCCTTATAGCACCTGGGACCCGGGCTTCCCTCACAGCCCCGGCTTCATCCATAGGGTCGACTGGAAGGACATTGGGTCTAATTAGCATATTATGCTATATATATTTTTTCACTAGAGGCCCGATGCACCAAAATTCATGCACTCAGGGGGGTCCCTCAGCCCAGCCTGCGACCTCTCGCAGTCTGGGACCCCTCGGGGGATGTCCGCCTGCTGGCTTAGGCCTAAGCCGGTAGTCAGACATCCCTCTTGCAGTCCGGGACCCCTCACTCCTTACCGCCTGCCTGCTCGCTGCCCCTTACACTGGCTAGCTGCTCCTTAGCACTGCTGTGGAGGCAGGAGAGGCTCCTGTCACCACCGCTGCACTTGCCAGCAGTGAGCCCGGCTTCTGGCTGAATGGTGCTCCCCCTGAAGGAGTGCACTGACCACCAGGACACAGCTCCTGCATTGAGCGCCTGCCTCCTGGTGGTCAGTGCACATCATAGCGACTGGTCGGTCCGCCATTTGGTTGATTTGCATATTACCCTTTTATTATATAGGATGTGTGTGTGTGTGTGTGTGTGTACGCGCGCACGCATGTTTTGTTTAATCCCTTCTTTTATCCAGTCCCCAACCCCACTTATCTCTGACAGCTGTCCGTTCCACATATCCATACCTCTGTTTCTATTTTGTTCATCAGTTAATTTTGTTCACTAGATTCCACATATAAGTGAGATCATATGACATTTGTCTTTCTCTGACTGGCTTATTTCGCTTAGCATCACAGTCTCCAGTTCCATCCATGTTTTCACAAAAGATAAGATCTCCTTTTTTTTTTTTTTACAGCTGAGTAGTGTTCTATTGTGTAAATGTACCACCACTTTTCGTAGCCATTCATCTACTGATGGGCCCTTGGGCTATTTCCAGATCTTGGCTGTTAGAAATAATGCCAAGGAATGAACATAGGAATGCATATATTCTTTTGAATTAGTGTTTTTATGTTTCTTAGGATATATTCCCAGACGTGGGATGGCTGGGTCATAAAGAAGTTCAATTTTTAATTTTTTTAAGAAACTCCATACTGTTTTCCATAGTGGCTGCACCAGTCTGCATTCCCACCAACAGTTGTACAAGGGTTCCCTTTTCTCCACATCCTTGCCAGCGCTTGTTTGTTGATCTATTGATGATAGCCATTCTGACAGGTGTGAGGTGATATCTCATTGTGTTTTTCATCTGTATCTCTCCAATGATTAGTGACATTGACATTTTTCATATGTATATTGGCCTTCTGTATGTCTTCTTTGTAGAAATGTCTATTCAGGTCCTTTGCCCATTTTTTAAGTGGGTTGTCTTCTTGGTGTTGAGTACTATACATGCTTTATATATTTTAGAAATTAACTCCTTATCACATGTATCATTGGCAAATGTATTCTCCCATTTAATTTAAAAGTTACGATTTAATGAAATAGTTCTACTTGACACAGTGGAAGTTTCAATGTCATCTAATCTATTTGCATTATTTGACCGAAATTATTTTAGAATTACACATATATGATGTTTTATATTCTTTGTCTTAGTAGTTGGCGTTTAAATAAAAGACTATAGAAGATGTTTTTAGATTCCTACTTAAAGCTGTGTGGAAGGTAAGAAGCTCCTTTTTAACCTGCTTTTTTGGTTCTATTGTGTGGGTTGTTTCATATCACACAATGAAGAAAAGAATATAAGCAGTTTAGTTTAGAAAGTAAATGCTGTTAAGTGATGTTGCATATTATAGCAAATGGATTCTTTGAATGGCTTTCATTTTTTCAATTATTTGCCAACTAAAGTTTGTGGATCTAACCCGTGATGAACTCTTGATCTTCATGAAATCCTAACAAGGTAAGTCATTATCATTCCCAATTATATAAAGTGGATATTTATGTAAGTGCAGAATTCAACGCAGATAAACTACGTATCTTGTTATTCCAATGATGATGGATCGAAGTTAATAATACATTGCATTTTAACTTGCTTATAAGAAATATTAAGCCTGGCCGAAACCGGTTTGGCTCAGTGGATAGAGCGTCGGCCTGCGGACTGAAAGGTCCCAGGTTCGATTCCGGTCAAGGGCATGTACCCGGGTTGCGGACACATCCCCAGTGGGAGATGTGCAGGAGGCAGCTGATCGATGTTTCTCTCTCACCGATGTTTCTAACTCTCTATCTCTCTCCCTTCCTCTCTATAAAAAATCAATAAAAAATATATTTAAAAAAAAAGAAATATTAAGCCTGACTCTATAACAGAAAGGTATAGTTACAGAGTGCATCAATAACTCAGCCTACAACCAAAGAGTTAAAGAATTGCTCAATTCTGGCCATTTTGTATGGTCAGTTACCAATATTTCTCCTGTAGTCTTTTGCAATAATAATTTATTAAATAAGCATTTATTACATTTTAACAATAGTATGCCTGTCTCCATGT